CTTTGCCTCTGCCTTCACACAGTGTTCTCGTCTTTGTGTCTGTGTCCAAATTTCCCTCTTCTTATAAGGATACCAGTTATTGGATGAGGGCCCACCCTAATCTAGTATAAGCTTATTTTAACTTGACTATATCTGCAAAGATCCTATTTCTAACTAAGATCATATTCACAGGTACTGGAGGGTTAGGACTTCAACATATCTTTTGGGAGGACACAATGGAACCCAGAGGGCTGTAGAACAACAACAAAACAAAACCCTGAGCTAGGCATAAAAAGACCTGGCTGTCCAACCTCCTACCTCCCGTTGGGCTATGCTTGTCCTCTCTAAGTCTTGGCTTCTTCTAAAGCAAGGCAATCCCTGCACTACCTACTTCAGAAATGCCACAAGAATAAAATGAAATCATGTAAATGAAAGAATTTTCTATTCAAAAGTGTTTCCACAAGTGCAAGGGATTATTATGAATTCATTCCAGATTGTGTTGACTTTTCCTTAACTTCATAACTACTTAATGAGTAGGTAATGGAATGAGAAATACAGCCTGTCTTACAGGGAAGAGAATTTAAATTACATTCCTCTCTTTAGGGTTTGAGATAAAAGTACATTAGCAATCTGCAGATAAGGAGAGTAGTATTGCAGATCCTTATTCATTGGGTTTTTTACTCACACCAAAACAGGGTGGTAATTCAAGTGAGCTAAAGGGTGGCAAGCAATTTAAAAGCAAACCACAAGGGCTGATGTTCTCCTCTGGGACATCAGCAGACATCTTCAATGACAGTGGCTCCCTTTCCCTCTGTGTGGTCTATATTATTTGCTCCTCTGGCAATGTCCTAATAGCACTGAATTCACTTTGTTCAAGGACTTTTCTGGATATGGGGACACAGACCACCCAACTTATAAAATTAGCTAAAGAAGCCATTTTCCTAACTAATGTGTCATATTCCCATGGCTATTACACAAAACAGAACCACTGTGTGACCAGAAAAAAATAAACAAAAAGATGAGAATTTACAGTGAAAAAAGAAAAGCCCCCTTTCACCTTTTTAAGAGGCCTGAAGCTCTAGCAGTGAGGGGAAAACCTTGCTCAGGCCACCAGACTAAGTCTATGGGACTTGGAAGGCAAAGATGACCACACATATTAGAAAAGCCAAAAAAGAGGTGTCATTGGGATAACAGCAAGAACTATGGTTATGTCCAAAGCATCATGTGACCCACCTGAGTGTTACTGATGATCACAGTAGTGATAAATTCTGTTGACGTTGGACTATGGGGCTTTGGTGACCCAGGAGAAATCCCAGAGGGGAAAAATGGCACCAGCAAAAAAGAAACAAAGAGGCTCTAAGAAATCAGTTCTCAATCTGCTGTGCAAACTGAATCTTCTATTTCTCACTGCTGGGTATATATGCTTCCCAGGGGATATAATACACTTTCAGGAATGTGCCAAATCACACCAGTTAATAAACAAAACTTTATTTTCCTTTAATACAAAAATTAAATAGCAAGGGTTTTTGTTTGTTTTTTTGTACAGTGATAAATTAGAAAATTTACAGTACAGACATCAATGCAGATATACTTTTGTACATCCTTAAAAGAGGGTCCATTTCCTTTGAAGTTCAGCAATTCATTCAGGGCATGTATAGCAGAAATTTGCCTGGTACCTCTATGTCAAACATTTGAAAGTCCCTCGGGTTGGCCTCAAGATTCCTGGAGCCATAGAGTCACATGAGGACCCAAAAAAAGGCCACAGAGGAACTAGCTTGACTGCTGCACAGAGCAGGTTGAGTCACATTTTATCTTTTTTGCAGATCGCACCAGATATTTAGTCCACCTTTGTTACAGAAACCTCAAGGGGCCTTCATCTTTAGGCCTTCTAAAGCCTCACAACATTGCTGTGAGGTAGAAAAAAGTCAGAACCACATACACGCCCCATTTGGAGAGACCTAGAAAGCTGCTTACCTGCCCCCAAAGCCCACAGCCAAGTCAGGGACTGAGCCTATTGATAGGATTTGGAAACTTTCACAACCTGGGAGAGAAGATGGACCCAACTTTCATGGGGCAGAAATTTTCAGAAGCCTTCTAGGATGACAGTGGTATGTCCTTAATATTGCAGGAAATCAAGGAGGTACAAAAGCTTTGAGGACATGGCTCATACAGTACCCCAAACAGGCCCTCTACAAATTGCCTGGGTGAATACTAGGAATTTGCTGATGCAAACAAGGAAAATAAGGCAAATCAGAAACAGAAACATGCTACTATCAGTTCAGTGGAGCTTACCAAGGGGAAGAGGCATGTCAGGGGGCCTGTGGTTCACTTCCCTCCTGGTCTTGTCAAGCTGTCATTATTGCACCTATGCATGACAAGAGGCAGCAACACAGAGTTCTATCTAGGCTGCAGTAAAACAAAATCCATTATTTAAGATTCTAGAATCTGATCCTTGGTAGGAACAAAATGCTCTCTCAGGAGTTTCCAAGACCTATGAGACCTAGCCCTGAGGAAAAATGATAGATAACCCAGGTCCTCTGCCAGACATAATACAAACTCAGACGGGCACTCTGAACTCAAACACAACAAAAGAACAAAAGGAATTGTCAAAGTCCAGTGACTCACCAGAACTGCCTTGAATAACAGCTCTCTCCAGTGCCCTCTATCACAGAATGAAATTCAGGATGTAGATTGATTTTAAGAGGTTCCTTCCAAAGTCTGTGCTCCGTGGTTCCCTTCTCTGACTGCTGCTGTGGCCACCTCACCAGAAGCAAAAGATCGCACCATCCTGATGAAATTCCGTTAAATAGAGTCTGCCCCTCCAGAGCTGAGGCTATTGTGTTCTTCTTTGTGTCCTCAGGTACCAGTTTGGTTCCAACACAATAAGCGCTTACCCAGAGGGGGCCAGAGAGGACAGAGCTGGGAGTGCTGGACAGAATAACAATTCAGAATCTAGTACAGAAGTTTCCCAGATGCTGGGCTGGGGTATGCAGGTGAGGGAGTAACCTGGGAAAGAAAAGGCAAGACCATCTCAGGGAAATGAAAAGTATCAGCCCTTCTCTGGTTTCAGGCCCCTGAGTAAACTGTCAGCTCAGACACAGACTCAGAGGTCAGGAAATGGGTCTCAAGAAAGGAAAAAGGATATGAATCAACCAAGTAGCTCAAGCAGATGGTTCTGGCCAGTTTCACCCTACCCCATGTTCTTCTGCCCTGAGGTTTGGCCTTTATGAAGCAGGAAAAAGGAGTCTGCCACAGAGAAGGATGGACAGAGGTACCACTGGGCTCTGTTTAATAAAATCTCTGGAGGCCAAGGGATTGTTGTAGGAAACTATAATCATACCTGTGTATTCTAGATTTCAGAGAAAGAAAAACCCTAATCTTTCCCCTAGCAAGATGGTGTCCTCAAATATACCTACACGAGTCACATGAACATCCCAAGCTCTGAACTGCCTGCCCCCAAAGCCATAATAGATGTGAGAGCTCATGTCCTTCTAGCCTATTCTCATAATCCTCCTAGAGGATTTCTACAGAGACTGTCATGAAGCAGAGCTGATACTTTCTGTCAAAATCCCTGCAATTGATTTAGAAGGAATCCTGGAAAGGGAAGAGTGGTGTGACAAAGATAGAGAGACCCAAGAAGAGGCTTATCGGATGAAGATAGTGAAACAGATGGAAATGCCAGAAGCCCCTGCTCCTTCACAGAACCAACAGCAAAGTCCAGCAAACCTGGGCACAACCCTACCCTAGGTCTGTTAGAAGAACAGAGATTATCTCCCGCAACGTCCCCTAAGGCATTTAACACAGGGCTTTACACACAGTTGGCACTCAGTAAATGTGCTGATAATTGACTTTTTAAAAAAACAAATACCAATTTAATAGGTGATGGAGTCACCTGAAGGTCATCGGTAATAAACTCCTAACGCCACAAAGCTCCTTTCCTGAAACCGTAATCAGTCCCCATTGTCTGCGATGTGAAAGGAAAGGCCTATAACTCTGTGGCATTGCTAAGGCTACTAATCCAGTCTGCACTGACTGGCCACTTCTGATCAAATATACTTTCCCCTGAGAAGGCAAGAGATTTGTGGAACAGACATGTCAAAACCCAAAAAGTTGTCAGGGCACTACCTGCAGAACTCGGGTATCCAGGTTCACTCAAATGCCCTTTTATTGTTACTATTATTTAATCACTGACAAATATTGAGCACCCCCCCATGCCTGACCCTCTGCTAGGTGCTGCCTCAGTCACACAATCAGTGAAGCATCACACCCCCATATATTCTAATAGCAAGGCCAGTCCCCTGCTGCATGGTTCTCCTTCCCTTCCCTGGGCCGAAGTCTCTGCACAACTCCCAAGGCACCAGAGCGGAGCGTGAGTAAGGGCAGGCTCTGCCCCTGGGTGCATGCTCCAGGGCCCTAGACAGTTATGGGAACTGTCTGCATGCAGCACAAGGAGTTCACATTTTATATTTCATAGGCAATGTAGTCTCAGATGGAGTCAAACGGGTCTTCTGGGGATCATTTCTCATGCTCCTGAAGCCCGGACCCAGAGTCCCGCCAAGGTACTCATCAGACAGTGGAAGGGGCCACTATTCCCACTTAGCTCTGTTTCAAAGCCCCAGGACTTTCCCCTCCAAAACACACAACTGACGTTCTGTGCATCTTGATCTTAGACAGCTCAAGAACCATGCAAAAACAAAGAGAAAAGAAGGAAGGAAACTGTTAAACCTTGGCATAATGCTCAACTGCACTCCCACTCCCACGCCCCACCCCCCAAAAAAGAAAAGGCATGCTTATTTCCAGAATTTGACTACCACCTATTTGGAATTTCGAGTCCCTGGAAATGTTTCTCCACAAAAAAGTATGATTTTAAAATAAAATAAAATAAAAGCTCTCCTAGCTATTTTTTTTAAAGGCATGAATTAATAAATAAATGAGTCACCGCAAAGCAGTTGCTGAAGCAAAGATACGTATGAGTTACAAAGAGAGCAACCTGTGACACTGTCAACAATTTGTCCCAGAGATCTGGTGATTAGAAGGCCTAAGGCAGATTAAGAGAAAGGCCAGTATGATTTCTAAAAGAACTGCAACTTTTGAGAGGCTGCTAGGGGGTACCTCCTTGTGAGGAACGTAAGGCGTAAATTTTAAAAGTTTTGGATACCTCTGCAAAAAGCAATTAAGACCTGTGCTGTTTGAGTTTGCAGTTCATTTCATATGGTCTACACTTTATTCCCCGCTAACCGATCAAGCTCCTGGCTGGCATTCTGGAGATTCATTAAGCACCATATAAATACTCCAGGCCACACTGCCTCCAATGAAATCTTACAAGGAGCCTTTGCCAATTACTAGGAAACAATTATGCACCAAGTTGTTGGATTAGCTGTCCTTAGTTCCCTTTACAAAACTGAAAAGTCTCCATTGTGGTAAGTAGACCAGACTCTGATAACATTCGTATGCTAAAGAAAAAAAAGGCACTATCATTCTAAGAATGCAAGTTGACCATAGATTTAAAGTCAGTTGAGTATAATATGTCATGGTCCAAGAATGTGCTTTTAATTGTAATTGACACACGCATATTACACAGTTAATCTGTGTGAATGCAAAGTTGCCAAGAAACTTAACATTTCAGTTCTTCCAGACTGGCGTCTGCATAGATACAATCACAAAGTAAAATATATTAAGTCCCCATTGCTCAATGCAATAGGTCTCTGGGGTTGGTAAGGTAAGTTAACTTAGTAAATCTCATTTTCCTCTGAATCAAGTGATTGTCAGAAAGTGAGTCACCCTTCCTTTTTCCCTCATTAGGCATGCTGCAGTGCAAAAATTCCTATGAAAATACCTTTTTTGAATCATTAGTGTTAAATGAAGAAAACAGCAGCAGCCTAGAATAGAGGTGTTGAAATTTAAGAAGAGAGAAAAGCCCACTGGATACCTTATATGTGTTAGTACAGTACTTTTGTTTGTTCAAACAATTCTGTTTTATGACAAAGGCACTAAATGATTCTGACACCACCTCTTGGGAGTGCAGTCCATGAAGTTCTAAACAGCAGACAGCACACCACGGAAGATGTTTATGTTAGATCAGCCAAACTATAAAAACTCTTATAACACTTCTCTGAACCCAGCGTTTCCAGTGTTTATAGATGATCGCTTTGCTATCTGAAAAACCCAGTTAGTATTTAAAATTTTTAAGGGTTAAAGAAGTTAATCTTTCTCCCTGCAAGTTACCAACTCATAGCTCAAATCCCACTCTGCAGGGGAAAACAGCATAGCCCTAGACTTGCTGGAATCTAGGCAGGACCTCTACACTCCAAGCTGCGACCTGCTAAAGTGATCAACGTTTTGATTCTTCACAGCTTTGAAAGCCTCTAACTGGCTTTTCCATTTGGATCATTCCAAAGTCTGCAGCAAAATCATTGGTTTTCTGATGCTGGTGTGGGGGTGGGTTGGTAGGGGTGCTAGTTTGTTCAAACTGAGATCCACTGCATAAAACTTTTAGTATCATTTCCACTGAAATGCTGGCATCACCCCCCCTTCAAAATGAAGAAAATGTGGAGGCTGGCTAGTCTTATACCACAGTCTCATTGCCTTTCCCAGGTTTCACCCAACCATTCCCTCTCTTCTCTCTCTTTACCTTCCCAGAGTTTACCAATCTGTTGGAACACTTCTGCCATGTGTGAAGAGTTTTGGCAGACCAAATCCACATGCCTGAAGTGATGCCCACCAGCAAAGACATAAAAATTTTCAACATTTCAACTGCCATATTGGAGTCATCTGCAGAATACCGGAAGAGTGCCCAGTTGGAGATTTCATAGAAATAACAAGCAATCACACAGGTTGCAGGAACCGTGTATAGCACTGAGAAGACCCCAATCTTGACCATCAGCCTTTCCAATTTGTCTGTCTTTGTCCCATCCTTTTGAAGATTTGACCTAATTTTGAACAAGGCCACCAAACCTGCAGCAATGAACAAAGTTCCAATCACCAAATAAGTGAAGAGGGGAGCCACCACGAAGCCAGTGAGGGCATCAAGATTTTGGTTCCCAACATAGCACAGGCCAGTCAGTTCATCTGCATCCACCAGTCTCATAATCAAAATCACAATGGTTTTCACTGCAGGGATGGCCCAGGCTGCAATGTGGAAATAAGAGCTGTGCATTTCTATGGCTTCATGACCCCATTTGAGTCCTGCTGCCAAAAACCAAGTTAGTGTCAAAATAACCCACCAAATGGAGCTGGCCATTCCAAAAAAGTACATCAGCAAGAAAATGATTGCACATCCTGTGTTCTTAAGTCCTTCTTGGATGAGAACGGGTTCTGCTGCCTCTTCAAAATCGCAGGATATCCTTTCCCGGCCTACAGTCAGCCTGACAATATAAGCAATGCTATAAATATTATAGCACATACTGAGAAATATGATGGGGCGCTCAGGGTAGGAAAACCTGGAAGAATCGATCAGGAAGGTCAGCACTGTAAAGGCAGTGGAGATGAAGCATAAGCTGGCCCACACGGCCATCCAGATGTCAGTGAACTCCTTGGCTGAGCGGCTGTACAAGCCAGCATCATAGCCACACTTGAGAACACAGTTTAGGCTCCTTTTCACCCAGATGTACTGATCAGAATTAGTTCCCACGGAGTGACACTCTTCCCCAGGCTGGATGGAGGTTTTGTGAGGTAAAGGCACCTCTTCATCACCTGGCCCTTCCATGCACATGTGGTTGTGATCGTTCTGTGGTGGAAATTTACTGCAGTTCAGGCTCTCTGGCCAGGCAAATCCAAATTCCTTCAGGACGGGTTCACAGCGTCTCTTGACTGAAAGACACATGCCGCCGCATGGGCCGATGGGGATGTTGATCTTCTCTGTGCACATTGGCACATACACCGAACAAAGGAAGAACTGGAAAAGTCATGAAATGAACAAAGAAAACAATGACTTGGAAGTCTGACCAAATGCTTGCACAAAGCTGAGTTGAATGCTTCCAGGCAATGTACATATCTACTTTTAAGCCAGTCTATAGAGAGTCTGTTTACTTTGACCTCAAACAAGGGTCCCTAATAATCCATCACTTATACACTTTTCTTAGTTTGCCTCTAGTAATCCTTTCCAGAGGAACATAAATAAATAAATAAATAAAGATCTGAAATATTACATAATCCCTTTTCACACAACCCTTAAGGAAATAAATATTAAAAAACTGACTTTCAATCTCCTGCCCCTTTTAGCTACTACCTTTAAAGAGCTAAAGAGACTAATTATATGACTTCGTCATTTAGGTGATATGGTGGTTTATTTTTATCCCCATCTATCACCATAAAAATAAATGTTAAAAAAATACATATATCCTATTAATATCCTCACTTTTCTCTACTTTAGCCTTTAAAATTATTTTTTTAATCAGTCCTATATTGAAACATGAAATACATCCCAACTGAGCCACTGTTAGACCCAATGATGAGATGCCGATTGAGGTCTCTGGTCACTAGGGGGTTTGTTTGGCCAGGTTTCCTCAATGAATAATAATGAAGCACAATAGGAAAATGTAAATGTTAAGTCCCTGAAACTGCAATACCAGCAGGGGAGAGTCCAGTTGCTGTCCTCAATTCCTCCGGCATTGATAAACAGTCTGCTTGGCTCCTTACAGATGTTGTCTATGAAGTCTAGAGTTACAAGTAACTATTTTCCAGCATGTAAAGGGATCCAGTCTTGTCCTTCAAAACAGTTTGGCTGCTTCCCCAGGATACATGCAATTAAAAATATATATCCCTGCAAAAGCTGTTTCTTCAACAAAATTGCCACTGATGTCAGGATATGTACTGTTTCCAAACTCAGAGCTAGAGGATCATTTCTTAAGCTTTTATAACCTAGTTCTAAAATTCTGAAACTTCCAAAGGGACATTTCACCAGCAACAGGTCTAATCCCCACCATCTTTCCAAAACCACAATCCAACTTTTAAAATGACCTGTGTAAAAACATGTACCTAGTTAGTAAGCTGCATGTCTGTTGCTTATCTCTCAGAAGTTATGGCCAGAACCACAGATTTCTGAAACTTTTAGCCTCGACAACTAACCTCTATTTCCCCCCCAACTTCTCTCTTTTCTAAATTTCCAAAAGTCACTCAGCCTCACCAACCAAAACACAATCAATATTAGCACTTTGTAAATTTTCCTTTCAGTCTTTTTCCCCCAAAGATTTGGTTGTTTTTGTGTTTGTTTTTGCAAGATTATAATCGCCCTGTATATGCAAATTCTTTCTCCACTATTATTGTAGGATAAACATTTCCTATATCATTACATAAGCTTTAAAATTTTTAATGACTGCAAAAAAATTCTTCCAATACGCAAACTACATTCCTGGAGCTTTTACTCTCCCTCCAAGCATTAAACCTGCCTTCAACCCTGAGGATAAGAAAGAACTCAAGCCAACCCAACCATTCCTTCCTGCATGACCTCTAAAACCGTGCGGGACGCCGCAAGGAGGGGCCACTCCGCAGAAAACGGGGCAGTAGTTTTCATTTAATAATCCATGCAAAAAATATGGGGGAGAAAGAAGGTCGGTGAGGGGCAGGGAAGGGAGGAGAAATTCCCGTCTCCTTATCTCTCCTCCCAAGTCTTAGCTGCAGCTGGCTGCCCTGCCGGGGACTCGCCCACCGAGCAGCGCCCGGAATCCTTGGCAAAGATAACCCTCAGCTCCACTGGGGTTAGGGGCTTGGCCAGACATGGGTGGGTAGGGGAGAAAAACGGAAGGGCGGGGTGTAAGAGTGGGTTCTTTCGCAGGCCAGATGACTTACACAACGTTTTGGCTTCCAGTCGCTGAGGAGGGACAGAAAAGTGGGGGTGGGGATGGAAATCACTTTTCCAGGGGAGTTGTACCCTTCAGGCTAGGAAGGGGGGCAGGGGGCTCGACTTGGCATGGGCTCCACGAAGTTTGGGGCGTCCCTGCCCAACGGATCCCGCCAAGGGTTGGGGTTTGGGGCGCCCACCTGCAGCTGGCTGGAGCAGCCGTACTGGATGAGCGGCGTGAAAGTTGTCAGCTGCAGCTCGGCGTCCGTCTGCAGCTCGTGCCCCACCAGGTTGGGCATCTTGGTCACGTTGTAGCCGAGGTTCTGGCACATGGAGATGCGGATAGGGTCGCAGCGCCGCTCCTCCTCGTCCCCGAAGCCCCGAGCCGGCCCCAGGAGCAGCAGCAACTGCAGCAGCAGCCCCAGACTGAGCCCGACGCCCCTGGGCGCCCCCGGGACGCTCGGCCCTGCGCCCTGCCCGGCCATGGCCAGAGCCCGGGGCACCAGCGGCGG